ATGACGACCACCACCACTGATTCCTCAGCCCCATATACGCCACTTGCTTCTCTTTAGCATACAACGCAGTGTGATTTTCAGCCCCTAAACTTGTTGTAACCACCTCTTCCCATCAAATACAGTCATGAATGCTTTGAAAGTATGGTGCTATGTTTATGTTTAATTAGACACCCTTCTTGTATTCTGCTTCGTTGCGATAACTATTTCAAGTGTATATTTGTTACATCCCTTATGTAGAATGGAGTAATTTATTCACATTCTTCTCAAAACAATAATATTTCGCAATCACAGAAGTTCATTAAAAGTTCGGAATATTTATATTGATTATTTTATTTTGAATTCCATAAAAATAAATGAAAACTATTGTGTATTATTAAATGAAATGTTTTGTGATGGTGTATTTTCATTTTGTCAGTTGGTTATTCTGTTAGGACTGCTGCCACAGCCTTGTCGGTTTTCATACTATGACATCGTGCAGTAGTATTGTATTGACTGGTGTTGAATAGTGAGTAATAATGTGGTAAATTGTGTGGTATTATTCCTCGGACTTTTGTACATTATCGAATGACGATAATGTGACGAGAGATGAGCTGAATATATTGTAAGAAGAATGTAAAGACTAGGTTGCGGCCGGCGGATGGATACGCGGCCATTTTAGAACAGGCGATGCGGCAACCGTGTGTATTCCGCCATTCGAAACAATCGAAGTGTTTTTCTCCAGGTGCAAGTCCTGGAATTTTGGTGAATAGTTTGTGGTATTTATGAAGTTTGTGATATGTGATACGTTCGGATCAGTCTGGAAGTTTTAAGGATTACAGTGAAGTGAGAATTTTGTTCATATGTGGTATACAGGATGAGGTAGGGCGATGGAAAACGAAGTGAAGCAGCGGAATCAAAGAAATCGTCGACGTGAACGGGCGCAGCGCATGCAAGCTCAGAGAGAAAGCAAAGCGAAGGATGGGGATAGTGCAGAGGACGAATCTCCAGCTCGTGAAAAACCTCAGAGACCTCCTAATAGAAGGAAAAAATCAAAAGAACCGCCGTTCGAAGAGGACATCATTGATGGATTTGCAATTTTAGCCTTCCGCACGTACGAGGATCTTGAGGTAAGACAGGCCATTGTTTGCAGTAGTCCGATTTGCTGTCATATATTTGGTTTCAGAATTTTTGTCTTGTTTGAAGATATTCGAACATTATGGAATAACAGGTCATTTGCATACAACCACAGAAGCACAATAAACAAATCATGGGCCCAAATATGGAGCTTTGTTTTTCCTTGTGAAATTTGGTTTCGCTGACATGACTGGGTGTATTTATTCTTGGTTAAGTGGCAAATATTTGTGTGCAGATACCACATTACGTATTTTAGTTGTCAAAAGTTCGGCAAGATCCGTTTGTTTCCACAGTGCAGTTGCATGAGGTAGACCATTAAGGACAATGAACTTTCCACAATTTCAATTTATAAATTGCTTAGTAGGCTGTGTCTTGTTTTCAAATAATACTATTCAGGTACTTTGGTGTACGTTGTATAAAAAACTCTTGAATTTCTGGATATTCTGAAACATTTGAGACATGATTACCTTGTTTTTTCAACAGTACATAATGTTGACAAGTACAATATTTATCTGCTATTCAGGATTTGGGCCAGTACACTGAAAAGTGTGAAGAATTTAAGGTGCAGACTATATGAACAGGAAGAAGAAAACAAAATTTTGTTTTTTAATCAAATCAAATCATATTCCTATGTGTTACACTGGACCTGAAAAGTTTGTGAAAGAATTAAAATATTGATACAGTGTGAAACATTTTTCATGTAATGGTCATCATCTTTATGGGCCTGTGAAATGTAGTATTCTTTCATGCTTTTAACACAGATGTTGTGGATTGAAGTAGAATTTTCTTCACTTCTGTATTATAAGACAGTGTTATGATTTGCTTCCAGATGGCCATTCTCTTTTGTTGGTCTCCAGTTCCTATTGTAGAGGGGTGGGACACAACATGGTATCGGTTTGCCCTCTGTGAAGTGTTGAAATCATTTTGATTGTTAAGGCTTGTCTGAATTTCAGCTGCTTGGAATAGAGTTGTCTTCTGCCAATTGGCAAACTCTACTGATGCTCAAGCTGAGGTTGTATATGTAAACAACTTGTCACATATATCTAGTAGGTAGGTCTTTGCACTTTCACACTGTGTAAGTTTCAAAGAATGTAGGGGGAAGTGGTTTGTTAATTATGAAAGCCGTTAGCGAAATGAAATGGTGTGTGTGGCACATAGCTCAAGGCAGATTGTATATGATGACAATGTGAAAATGGTGCCTTAACCTGATTTTAAAATTAAATGCTAGGTTAAGTTCACATTTTATAGAGAGGTACCAAAAATAATTTAAAATATTTTTCACAATTAGTATAGTTTCCTGTTATAATAACAGATACATTGATGTGCTAGTGATAAGAGGAGATTAATGTACTTTTGTAAGATATTTACATTTATATCACACTTCTGTTTGCAGAACTTCTGATTTTGAAATAGATTGAAGTTTTTAGCACTGAGTAAAGCCAACAGTAAAAGCCTACTATTACATTTTATCTTAATCAGAACTTGCTTGAATCCATCACTGTACCTCAACCTGACCCAGTGAAATTCAGTTTATACTCAAAGCTGTTTCATTAAAATAAATTTTAATATTAGGCCAAATATCTGAAGTCTTCTTTTCAGGTGTTCAAATTAAAAATTTATGTACATTTCTCATCTTCCCAGTGTTTGAGGTATGCACTGCGAATCTCATAATAATCAGATTTTATTGCCCAAATATTTGGTAAAGAGTCCAAATTATGAAGCTTCTTATTGTATAATTTTCTCTGTTGTACTGTTGTTTCCTTTCTCTTAGGCCCAGATATTCTTATCAGTATTTTGTACACTCAGTGTCTGTTATTCACTTAGGCTGAGAGAGAAAGTTTCACATACATATAAAATGCTGACAGTGTAGTTTCTATATGGTTTAATCTTCAGGTTTTCAGATAGACATTAAAATAAAATAATCCGTACTGATTGATAGCAAGTATTTCCTTAATTTAATTTGATCTTATCTTTGTGATTATAATTTTGTTTTGTTATTTGTTTCCCTCAGATATGAGTATTTGAACTTTGCCACATTTTTTGTACATTTATTAGCTATCTTTGTAGTATGTCTATGCTGCATTCTGCATAGTCATAGGCCCTTAGTAAATTGATACATGCTTGATTTGAACTAACACTAAACAGTCACCAGTTTGTTGGAATGAACACTGAATGTGATCATTTTTTGGCTCACAGAACTGTAGCGTTAGAAAGTTTGATTATTGTCATGGCAGGGCACTGGGGATTTTGTCAGTCACCGAGTAATCAATTTGGTGTGCCCTACTGCAGAGGCAGTCAATGAAAGCTATGCCTGTACACAAAAACAACATACATTCTTGCAGATTCTAGTTATCAACACAAATATTGTGATGTGACTGGTGTTACTTTGTAACCCCCCCTTTTCCCAACTTGTTTACTTTGTGATGTGATAAAAGCAAAACAGTGGTAAGAGAAGGGATATAATTTTATGTTGTTAAATCAATTCTTTTTTGTTTTGGGGGAAAATGTATTCTATACTGATATAGATCGATGTGTTGATATATCCCATAATTTCTTGGTACCATAAAACCACTCATATTTATTTAAGAAGTAAAAAATCTGAACTCAGTTCATTGGGGACATGTTTTATTTGGTTCTTGGGAATAATAAAATGTATGAACTACCATGATTTTTGTGAAGGGTTATTGTACACACTTTTCAAACATGTGTTGGACAGTGCTTTGCACATGTGCTTGAGGCATCAGAAATCAAAACCTTGTGAATATTGCACATTGATCTGTATTATTGGATGTACAGGAGTAACTATTTAAAGATATATTTTTGTATAGTGTTAAATTTATGTGAAAATAGGGGCTATTTTATAACTGACAAAAATAATACGTATTTTTCACTATCAGATGTTACAGTAAAAGAACAAATGTGTCAAAATTTCTGTTCCAAAAATTAAACTATCAGATATGCATAGTGAGTTGCCAATTTGCACTGAAGTCTGATGAACTGGGATAGCTCTGTCAATAAAGTGATATTCTTCAGGCCAGATTCCTGTCAGGGCATTCATTTCTGTTTTGCCAACATATCCAGATCAGCTCTGGGGCCCAGTGGGTAAAGCAGGTCGAACATAAAGCTCTCTCCATCTAGCTGCAATATCTAGATTGCATGAGGCTTCCCCTTTAGTGACCTCTGTTCACTCAAATGGTTTTTTGGCACAGTGCAACCTTACATTATGTAGACATTTTCTCTGTTCATGAAATCTGCCGATTCGACACACAAAGTCATTGTTATGAAAGCTACTGGACATACCTGAATTTGAACTTCCAGTGTTGTGGTACCACAGAAACCACAACAAAGAAAAGTTTAGAATGAGATTGTGTTTGCATGACTTTGTTATTCCTCATGAAATTAAGGTCAAAACTTTGCTGTACTTGCACAAATATGAACATGTGATAGCAGATCAGGCCAAATTGGATGATAAGTTCAATGTTTCAGTTGACAGTGATAATAACTTTACTGATCTAATACTTTAACTTTGAGAATTGACACACAGAATATTTCTAGGCCCATTTTATAGCAATTTAGGTTTCTTATGGTTCAGAAGTTTGTAATGATTTTATACATTGTATTTATATTATCTAGTTTTATCACTGGTCTTGTCCACAATTCTGCAGTGACTAGTTATCAGTACCACAGTAAACATAAAATCAGTCATATTTAAGTGCTTTCTCTTATCAGTTAAATGCCATCAAAATAATTGTACATAATTACATCTGTTGATGAAGTTCAGTCATCTTGTACTTACTGTAATGTATACTGAGTTTGTGATTTTTGTATGGCAGTTTAGGATTGTGATACATTCTAATTTATAATGTCATTTAAATTTTTGCAGCCTGTTCTTATTTTAGCATAAAAGTTTCCTAACACAATTTTGTATGGTTCAGTCAGTTTAGTGACTGGCTACAGACTGAACGACCAGGGTTCGATCCCTGACAGGGCAGAGGATTTTTTCTCTAGCATCTATGTCCAAACTGGCTCTGGGGTTCACCCAGCCTCCTATCCAATGGGTGCTGGGGTTTTTTTCCCGGGGGTGATCACTCACCCCTATCTAGTGCTGAAGTTAAGAATGAGTGGGAGCTATACCGCCTCTCCTCCCAAGCGCCTTCATCATGTATTGTGGGACAGCATTACATTACTTTATTTATAAAACTGAATGTACATATTTACATTCTGCTTTTAACTTTCATGTAGATCACTGATATTAACCAAACATTGCAGTTATGTTGTTGGCGTTCCTGCTTCATATTTTGGATTCTCCAGACATCAGTTATGCTAACCCTTTTTTATGTGTATCCTCAGTTACTCCAAGCATATACCAGGATAGTACCTTTAATTAGGTCGTGATCACTTCTTTCCATATCCTTTCCAATTTATTTTCTTTGTCTCATTTAGCTATTGACAGCTTTATTAAACTATAAGTAGAATAAATGAATCTTTATCTTCCATTAGGCATGTCTATGCAATAGCAATATTACAAATCTTAGAGGAATCAGGATTGTTGAGAATGAACTAGATTCAACCGACTGAGTATAGAGTATTTAAGAAGTTGCTTGCACACTTTGGAAACTGATAATGACTAGAATAGAATGGTAATGGGTCAGGAGGATGATGGCTGTTTTTGTTCTTCAGAAGTCGTTCTTGTAGAATTGTAAGACAAAAGTAGACCATCTTTATTGTTTTCTTGATGCTGTAAAAATTGATTTATTATATAATAAGAATATTATTATGAAGTTCACACAGGAAGTATGCTACAGGGGTCCGCAGTGGCTGCGAGGTCTGAGGCGTGGGCCTTGTGCCGCTTGGTCGTTGGGACCGTGGGTTCGAATCCCACTCAAGCCATGGATGTTTTTCTGTGCTGTGTTGTCCTGTGTACAGGTAGAGGCCTTGCGACGGGCTGATTCCTCGTCCAAGGAGTCCTACCGAATGCCTATAGATCAAGCCA